CGTTGTGTGGTCCCGTGAGTACTTGGCGCGGGTTCTTGGGCTTGGTGACGCATGACACGTGACACATGGTCCCGTGAAGTCCTAGCAGCTGCAATCCTGAGACAGTGCTGTCGTGGCGATGCTGCGGAATTACCTCTTGCACATCATCGTCGTCCCTCTCATGTTCAGGTGGCGGTGGCGGTGCTCCGCCTCTGTTGCTTCCTCCGGTTCCGCCGACTCCTTCTCCTGAGGGGTCCTCTTCGTCATCGTCGCTGCTGTGGCGATCGCCTCCTGTGAATTCGCCGCTGGTGTTTTGCTCCAGGATGGCTGCCGCGGCTTCGTCTTCGAGCGTGGCGTAGCTATGCCCCTCGTTGGCGTAGACACAATTTGTGCTTGTCCGCTTGTCTTCGCGGATTTGCTCGAGATTGGGCTGATTGTAGAAGCTGACGTCGCTCGCGTTCGCGATTTTCTGGCTAATGAGGTCCAAAATGAGCCATGACTTGTATTCATGACTGATGCCGAGGTGAATCTTCCAGCGTGTGCAGCTAGCGAAATTCGCCGATGGTTGATGTTGGCGGGAGGTACTGCACCATGCACCCCCAGACGCGGAGCGTGGATGTGTCGCCCTTTGTGCCCGTCCACTTCAGATGCAGGGACAGGTTGCCGGTGATGGCGGTGGTTGAGAAGAGATTGTCCACCCGCACGGCGTGGTGCATCGTGTAGGTCCAGTCTGTTGGCGAAGTTTTGACTGCTTCAGGAATGCTCACACCTTTGTCATGAGCGTGCTCCAGTCTGTTGGCGGGAGTTCGTGCACTCAGTGACACCTTGCTCCAGGTGTGCGTAGGGAAGGGAGATATGGTGCTCGATCCCTTTCTGCGCCAGGAAATCTTGTAGCTCCTTGCAGCGAAACTCTGCTGCGCCGTCCGATTGCCAAATCTTGTTTTTTTTTTTTTTTTTTTTTTTTTTTTTCCAGATTGTCGTTGCGTTTGCGCCAGCCAAAGGCAGAAGACTTCGTACGCCCTGCTGCAGAGTCCAATGTTGACTACCCACACATAGCGGGTTCCCGCGTCAACGAATGTAAGTGTGTACCTCTCGTCGTTAAGCCCGTGGCCGACGACGAGAAAATCACTGTACACCTTGTGTCGTTTTGGGTAGCGGTTGGTTCTCGGCTCTAGTAGGGGGAACGATTGGTGGCATAGCGCAGCTTCAGGGCAGACGGTGCAGTTGCGCGGCTATGACGTGCTTCTCACTTCGGAGCCGTCAGGTTGCAGGTTGGAGTTTTCCAGCGTGGCGCGTGAGGGGTGACCGAGGCGCTGGTGCCAAAGGTCGTCGCTGGCGCGGAATCTGGAGGCGCGCATGTAACGCGCGCACACTTCTTCAGGGTCTTCTTCTGGTACTGGGGCAGGTTCCGCTACTGCTTCTTCAGCTTCTTCTTCGCCGTTCGCTGTCATCAGCATTAGCGACAAAAACTCCCTGTCTTGTATCACGAAAAGTGGGATATTCTTCCCAGGGATCGTGCCAGGGATGAGAGCAGGCTCGCGCGGCTCGGGATTGGGTCCGTAGACTGTGCGACATGGGGTTGAGGGTTCGTTGCCCCAGTCGATGGTATCCCAGGGATCGCGGTGCGGCTGGATGTCAGGCGGGAGCAGCGTAGCTGAGGGAAGTCGTGGGGGGCGGCCGAGAGGAACATCGTGCGGTTCGGTTGTTTCAGTCACTTCTTCTCCCCCTTTTTGTTCTTCTCGCCAGGCGCTCCAGCCATGACTGGAGGTGCCCCAGCCGCATGTGCCGCCACCAGTTGCGGCGCCCCATCTGCCAGTGTCGCTCGTTCCTCATCCGCTAGCGCTTCCCCACTCCCCTTCATTGGAGACGCTTTCCTCCTCTGCTCCCCAAGAAGCGCAAGCCAAGGTGCCGCGCACTTCGGTGATTTTTTTCCAGCGGAGCTCTTCGGCTTCGCGGCGCGCCAGCTCCTCTTCCTGCTCCACGGTGAGTGTCGCGTTAGCTCTGTGCATTGAGAAGCTGCATTGTGCATTACTACCTTTAGCAAGAACGAAGAACACAGAAAAGAGTACGAATGCGGAAAGTCGAAACGACGCGAACAGTTGGAGAGCATTTGGATCGTCGGAGCAAACAACATCGGGCAGCTGCAGGAGCGATGAAATTGGAGGGAACAGTTTCGTAACTGTACATGCCGCATGGTTGGATTTTGAATTAGTATAAAAGAATGTACCCCTTACAGTTCATGGCTAGCTAGGACGATTGGTATTCCCTTATACTCATACTTATACGCATGTATTTGCATGCTCTTATCATCTCAGTCATTTTATATTCACTCTGAACTGAGGTCAAGGGCCCACCACCACCACACACTTTGTGCGAACCTTTCCTGAGGTGACCCTGGTTACGATCTACCTTCTGATCGCAACAGGCTCTGAATACCAAGTATTCCACTGCAATTGAGTGAGTGAGCGAGAATTGCACTATCGAAGCAAATGGTACATTGAGCGAAGGTATGAGCAAAGAATATATAGCGAAGTCTTAAGATAGGTAGGTTAGGAGCCTTGGGGTTTAGGTTAGGAACAAGGGAGTTGGCCAAAGAGAATAGGGGTTGCACTGACAAGGAAGGTACAAGATATAGGAAAGAGGAGGTGGTGAAGGGAGGTAGACCACCTAATGACAAGATAGGGTGATACTACACTAACTAGCTAGACAAGCAATTATATAAGAATAACATATTTTGACATCCCCCCTTAATTGCATGCTAGTCTAGCTAGTGTATGGGGCTCATCTCGAAGCACAGACGATCACCGTGCCACAGCTGGACCCACCGCTGGGTACGGTGGATACCCGGTGTGCGCGACGAGGAACGGAAGGCACCAAGATACAATGGATAGAGAATAGACAATGAAAATTGCAAATCTCTCTCTCTCTCTCTCTCTCTCTCTCTCTCTCTCTCTCTCTCTCTCTCTCTCTCTCTCTCTCTCTCTCTCTCTCTCTCTCTCTCTCTCTCTCTCTCATCCCCCCTTAACCTCTCTCCTCCCCCCCCACAGCAACAAGTGCTGCAGGGAGAGAGGAAGAGGGAAGGGAGGGACGGGCTGCTGGTGGTTCATACCCGCCACCCCCATATCTCCCCCTTCCCCCCCCACGACGAAAGCCGCGGAAGGGAGGGCGGGGGGGGGGGGGGGAGGGGGGGAGCGGCGTGAGCAGCAGTCGGCACTGGCGCTGGCGGTGGTGCTGGCGCTGGTGTTGGTCGCAGGTGACGGCGCCGGCGCTCCGCGCTAGCGCTGGCGTTTGCATTCCGCGCTTGCGGTGGTGGCAGTCGCATTTGCTGGAGCTGGCGATCCGTGCTGGTGCTGGCGCTTTCGACGCGCGCGACAGGCGCGATGAGCGGGGGACGAGACGGGCAGATCGGGCAGAGCGCGGGGTGACAAGCGCGACGGGAGCACGGCGCGACGAACGACGGGAAAAAAAAAAAAAAAAAAAAAAAAAAAAACAAACAAACAAACAAACAAACAAACAAACAAAAAAAAACAAAACAAAACAAAACAAAACAAAACAAAACAAAACAAAAAAAACGTGTTTCGCGATGTAGCAAGGGCGGGCCCATGATCCTTAGGAAAAATTGAGTCCTTAGAACGAGACTGGCTCTGGTAGCATGTTAAGATAGGTACAGGTTAGGAGCCTTCGGGTTTAGGTTAGGAACAAGAGAGTTGGCCAAAGAGAAGAGGGGTTGCACTAACAAGGAGGGCACAAGATATAGGAAAGGGGAGGCGGTAAAGGGAGGTAGCTAGGGGTAATTTTATCAGTGTAAATCACCCTGATATACTGATGCATTAGGGTAATTTTTTCTGGAGCTTAGATTTTCGTGATATGTCAAGGTTTACGTTTTAAGGCACACTGTCGCCCCAGGGTTACCGTTCTTCTTAGCGAGTTTTACCCTGAAGCGAATACCCCCCCCCCCCTTCCGCTCCCGCACTTGTGTCCCCCTAGCTAGAAATAGTAAGTTATAAATATATTTTTTTTTTCGACTACTCACGTTGAAGTGGCTGTTCAGTAGATCGGTCTTCGGAAGGATGAAGACCCGGGTTCGAATCCTGGAGCCGGATTTTTTGTTCGGAACTTAAATAGAAACATTTCATCATGGTTCTGAAAATTGTTACACTGTGACCTTAAGGTAAATTTTTTGAAACTATGGAAAACCCTGATGGAAAAGAATTTTCCCAAGGGGTCACACTCAGGCCTGACGTTTCATTTTGGGCCTCCCTGATTCCGGGTAAAATTTCCTCGCTGTATTATGAGGGCTCATTTTCCACAAGGTAGCTACTCTGACAGCTCAGTGTCCAACAGAGTCTCACACTGACTCCCCATGGTTCACACCAAGAGATCAAGGTTGCTTTAAGAAGTGCACTACACTTTACAATTTCTTACAAATCATGTTGCTAGTTCTCTACACTATCTAGTGCACAGGCTTGTCAATGTGGTACACCTCCTCCACGTCATCATCGTCCGACAGGAAGGGGTTGTCCTCCTCCTCCTTCTCATCCCCCTCCTCTACAATCTCTTGATCATCGCCCAGGTCCTGTTCCACTACATCCTCCTCCTCCTCTTCCACCTCATCCTCGTTCTCCCCTGCAGTTCCAGCAGCCACATCTTCACCCTCCTTCTGCTTCCCCTTCCTCTCCCTCTCTGCCACAGCCAGTTTCAGGCTCTTCGCAGGGCGCCGCCTCTGCATGGACCTCCAGACCTCCTGTGCTTCCGGCCAGTCGATCTCATACTTGAGGAGCGAGATCTGCATCAGCTCGCCCAGTCGCGCGTTGCACAGTGCTCCTCGCACCCAAAACTTGATGACATTTTGCCTGGAGAAACCCCACTCGCACTCCACGTTTGAGAGTGGGAGCACAGAGTGCGCCTGCCACAGAAGGATGGGGTTGGGTCTCCTGCCAGCCACATTCAAACACAGAACGAGGAAAAACGTTTAGCATGTGAATTCACACTCGGAAAACAGCATTGCAACGAGCCCAGTGTTACCTCTTGGAGTCTGCATACCCGAGAAAGTTGGACAGCCCCTGCGAGAAGCTCTCCAGCTCGTGGTGTGTCTCCATAATCGCACAGAATGTCGGGAGCTCCCTCTCAGCTGCCTTGATGTCGAATCCAGGCAGCTTGTTGCGGAAAAGCTTGCTGCATCCGAGCAGCCACTCACGGCACTTTTCCTCTCGCTGAGCCTTGATCTTCGGCCACTTCCCCGCCCGGAACAGCTTCGTCGGCCCCAGCTTCCCCAGGTCCTCCAGACGGTTGTTGAGGTTGTCCACGCAATCCCAGGCGAATCGGCGGCACAACTTCACGCACTCGGGGTAGGTACTTCCCTTCTTGTGCCCCTTTAGCTTCCTCTCGTGCATGGTATAGAGGTGGTTGATAGGGCGTCCCTCCCGTCTACGCCTCGCACCCGGACCTGCTTGCCTCCACCCTCCTTGTGGACCTTGAGAAAATTGACCAGCCAGCTCTTGACCTCGCCTCCAAACGGCTTGTTGTTAGACAAGTACCACTCCTTTAGATCCCCCGTGGTGGACTCAATGCTCTTCGCAATCTCTGTCACATCCAACTGTTACAGTTTTCCACATTGAGAACAGGATAAACCGTTAGCAACAGTATACGAGTTTATTTGCAATAACTAGCGGCTGCACACTGATTAAAAGACTCACCTGACGCCTCTGGAAGCACCGGTTTAGTTCGTTCATGTCCGAGAGGATGTCCGCGAGGAAAAACAAGCATAATTGGAACTTGTAGCACGTCACAATCTTGTAGGCCTTGTGGTTGTGCTCCCAGAGCAGCACGATGCAATCGCCGAGGACCTTGCAGAGTCGTTGAACCGCATCCCCTCGTGACAGCCACTGAACCGTGTGGATCCCCTGCACTTCAAGGTTCGTCTTGTAGATTACGCGCTACAGGTACTTGAATCGCTGACTCCAGACGCTCGAGTTTCTGAGCAGCGTCGCCACAGTGCGCACCACCTTGTCGACCATTCCGAGATCCGGATTTGACTCAGCGGCGTCCTTCACAGCCAGTGCCTCTCTGTAGGCCACGGGGACATAATTCAAAAGATAGTTAGAACTCAACACACGATATGTAAAGCAGCAAGCAAACTCACCGGTGGGCGATGCAGTGACAAGAAAACAGGTGTGGGACGTGTTCCCGAAGTCGCGCCACCAGTCCGTTATCCTTCCCTGTCTGTGCTGATGCCAACGATCTTGGACACATCGACGGCTACAGATCGGAGATGGTTCATCAGCACCTCGAACAGAGACCCTGCATCACGCCTCTCAAACGTAAGCAAGGTAAAGAACTCGCATGCGACTTGACGATCCTTCCAATATGTCAGGTAAACAATCATGTGTTTCCCTCGCGTTCTGTCGGTGCTCTTGTCGCAGCTGATGCCCAGGAAGGGGGAAGCCATGATGTGGTCCATCTGCACCCGCGTGAGGTAGGTACTGATGCTGTGAACCATCTGCTGGAAGTCGTAGCTGCACAAGGGTGAGTCAAATGGTCAGTACTATTCGTTGGAAACCTTTACACTACACACGCGACGCAGCTACATATCGAAATGACAACACACCGTGTCAAATAAACCCCGTAGGATTGCCGTGGAATGTCGGGCGTGTCCTGCTCCGCAAGATGCCGCATCAGCTTCGGGAACATGCTGATCGGCGCGTCGCACTAGCACAGAAACTGAACCGACCGCATGAGTCGAGTAGCGCGCCGGCCCTCGATGTCAGTGTTAATGAAGTTCGAGATCACCTGCTGACCCTCGCGGATGCCTCGCGCAATCTTCATCTGCCGGTCCACCGCCGCCGTATGCGCGTCCGTGTGCTCGTGCGCCCTGAACGACTGCATCTGCAAGTCTCGGCCACCGTCATCACCCTGCCTGGCGTACTTCGTGTTCTCTTTCCCGTACGACATGCAGATGCCGCACTTCACGTAATGAAATCCATCCTTGGTTTTCCCAAACACCAGACACGAAAACATGCCTGACCACTTCGTCTCGTAGTTGATACTCGCCTCAAGGTACATCTGCTCTCTCAGCTGCATCTTCGTGAGTGCGGGCGAACCGATGTCCGCACGGACAGGGATATCACCTTCCTACGGGATCTCAGCGACATCAGGTGGTGGATCAACCGGCTTGTCAGGCGGTGGAATACGGCGGCCACCGACGACCAGGGTACTCTGCGACCACTTCCCAGATCGCGCTCGCTTGGGAGTGGAAGAAGCTGACAGAGGACCAAGGGACACCCGGACTGTGCTAGGAGGGGGACTAGGCGAGGGCGGTGGGGGATCCTTACTGCAAGAAGCAACAGCCGGGGGGGGGAGTGAATGCGACGGGACGGGGAGAGTCAGACCGAGTGGCGGTTACTCTAGCTGCAGAGTCATGGACGGTAGACCTAGGTGCATCTGGTGTTACTGGAGCACCACTGGTTCTAAGAAAATCGAGCCCAGAGCGGGGGGCATCTGTTGCTTTCTCCGGCAGGATGTGTTCCGTGGGTTTCGCGGGTAAAGGAGGCTCATCATGGAGAGCCTGAGGAGAATCATCGTCGGCCGGCAGGCCTTCCATGGCGGCGAGATAGGAGAGAGGAAGAGCGAGAGACAGTGAAAAAAGGAAGGGACAAAATGAAAATAAAGGCAGTACTTCCTCGAGTCTGGCTGGGGGTAGGGGGAAGGAAGACACGGTTGGAGATGGCGGGGTCATCAAGAAACCTCCGCGTCGCCACGCCACAAAATTGATGCCTCGAGTCGTGAATGAATTCGACCTGCGATGCAAAGCCGAATACATTGAACGACTGCCTGACTGCCAGCGCCGACTGTCAAGCTGCTTGTCTGGCCAATGATAGAGGCATACTGTGCATTGCACGGTGCGCGTGGCAGCAAACCATCAATGTCTCGTTGCGCTGTCACAGTTGACAGCTGTGCTGTACATCGGTGCTGTACCGCGTGGGGTTGGAATAGTTGTCGGTATTACGTCGGTCTTGCTCGTGAAAGGGGACCCTCAGGTGTGTGCATGCGAAGTCATGATTACGCACATGGGGCATTCCGACACCGGCGCATTCAGGGTCCACAGGACGCGTACTCTACATTGACAGAATCAGTAAGAAAGCTACACTGAGCCTGGATACAAGATTTCAGGGTTCGCTAAAGCACTTATCTGAATGGATCAGATTTCACAAGTCACAAAATCTGAAATGGCAGGGACCACCAGGTGACAATCTTGTAATCACCCTGAAATCAGGGTGATTACCCTGATAAAATCAGCCCTGGTCACACTGATAATCAGGGTCCTGCAAAGGTGCAGGACTGGTAATAAGGGTTGCTTAAAACAAAAAAATAGCCCTGGTCTGGAGCGCGGGTTACCAACCGAACCGTGAGGTTGGGTTGCGTTGTGAACAGTGGCGGGAACAGTAGTAGTCGAGGCGAGTGTCGCGATTGGTAACAGTGTACTGTTGGGAACTGTTGGCGGGAACAGTGGTGTACGCGCTGAGAAGGGACGCGGAGTAAGGAAAATATTTTTTCATTGCACACCACGTCATCATACGACGTCTTCTTCATTGGTTTATTTAATTATGCTGCTATAACCATCAGCTGTATGTGTAAGGATTTACAAATCCTTACTGAGGCACTCGTTAGCGAGGCCATCCCGAGGGCCACGCGACCAACTGGTTCGGCCTACAATTTCGCATCCAAACCTCACCGAGCCGCCTCCGCACCAATCGCGACACTTCGCGAGCCAACCTTTCCCCACCTCCCCGCCTAGCTAGGATTTCCCCTATTTAGGCCTCGCTACTTCATTGTTTCGTCATTCTGTAATTCTCATTCTCGTTATTCGATATCTGCGCACTCTGACAAGTTCATTCATAACACCTGGTATCAGAGCTACTTTCCTAGCCTACCCCGCTTTTTAGAGTGTAATACCCCTCGGGGGGGGGACGAGGAAGGATGCCTTGGGGTCCAGGAGTTGCGTGCTAGCCGGCTAGGAGAACTAGTTAGTTGCTCCTCGCGGCGATGTTTTTACGGGCACTCCTCTGGCACCGCCGGATCCTTGCCTCGAACGGTCGCGATCGACCGTGGCCTCCCTCCCCCCGGGCAACGGATAGCTAGAGCTGTCGCGACGTTAAACGTGAGTTATTTCCGCTGCGTTCCGACGATTTCGGGGATATTTTCGTGTGGCAGCTGGCGTTAGCGGACCTGCGTCGGCATCTGCACGAAGATTTCGGAAGTCATCACGATGAATGGCAGTTGACGACGTCGGACCTTGGTCAACAGTTTCGCGACAATCTCGGAGTCCGTCCCATACGGCAAGTGACGACGGTGGCTCGTCGTCATCCTGTGCGCGTGACTCGCGGGGTGTGTTTTCGGCAGCTGGCGACGGCGGACGTGCGTCACTGTGCGAGATTTTCGGAGCTATTGTTGAAGAAAAGTTGGCTGGGGGAACTCGCAGGCGCAAAAGGAGTTTGCGTCCGAAAATGTCGGTGGCGAGGAGAGACGACACTAGACTGCCCGACTTAGCGGGAGTCAACTGCCGTCCCGCCCGACCTGTTAAGTGCGGCGGCTTTTACTGCATTGGCGGGCGCGTCATCAGCAATTTTCGGCAGGAGTGCTCGTGGACAGACGGGACTTCATACCTGCTGACACTTACGGGCTGCAACGGAAAACGCGGTGGCTAAATCGCACTTACGAATACGTGGGGCGCAGGCGACGAGGGAAATCGGGGCAGGTACACCTCGAAAGAACTCGTGCGACGCTGCGTGCCTGGTGTTGTTGCAAGCTGGCCGGCAGTATCGAGAACAGTTTCCCCTGACCAAGGACGTTGTTTTCGGGGACAGCTGCTGACAACCCACGGTTAAACGGTGTCCAAGGTACCGCCCGACTATTTTGGAGGGGTCGGTACAGGCTGCCGGGACACACGGGAAGAAACGGCCCAACGGCTAAGCGGGGGTTGAAGAACGTCGTGGGGAGCAGATAAAAGCCGGTGGAACCGATCTGCGGCCCTACTTCGCCCGAACCTCACCATCCCCACCAAGTTTTAGTTCTGACTCATGCAGTCAACTTACTTGGCCGAATAACGGGGGTGAACACGTGCCTACCCTGTGCTGGTTAAAGGCACCTGGTTTGGTGCTCGTTCGACAGCTGTACAGAAAAGACAAAAAAGGGGAGTTGCGGCACTGTTCTACTCCGACAAAAACGTGCTGGGTGAACGGCACGCGAAAAAGTCGGGGAGCTGCGTGCACAACATTGGTGCAGTTAACGGATTTCTTCTGACCCGCGTGTCTACACGATTTGACGGCGCAGCGGCGAAGCTGAGACCGGGAAGCTGTAGAAATTTTGTGGCGTGATAGGCACGGCGGGCTGCAAAACGGTTGGGCGATAGTTTCCTTTTAACTAAGGCTACCCCGACTCCGATAGTTTTTGCCTCTCCACCGTGGCCGAGTTCGCGCGGGCAACAACGACGATACCCCATCCGACAAAAGCGGACGCTGGGTGAACGGCGGGAAGCGGAATTGTCGGGGGGTGAATTCAAAACAATTTGACGACGGAGGGAAAGTTGTGGGTGATCCAGCAGATCACTTGAGTGAGAGGTTGAGCCCGTGCACCAATCCACCGCGAATTTCGGAGTCTATTCGGTAGACACCCGAAAGGGTTTGATATTGTTACATGGAGGCGCGGCGAGCGGTACATTGCCAAGGATACCTGGGATTCGCTAAGTGGCTTCGACGGGTATGAAGATGGGTGAACATCGGAGTACCAGGGTTAACGGCGGAAACGTCGGGGCTACACGGCGGAAAATAACTTCGGGACTGCTGCCTCAACCACGATTTTCGGGTTATCTTCCTACAAAACAAAAAACAAAGAGGTTGGAGCTGAGGGTGTTTCTTCGCTTCTTGGAGTGCGGTTGAGCCGTTGGGGGACTTCGCCTGAAGGGCACTTTTTAAGTCGCCTGGCAAGAAACACAGCGGCGGGGATACCTAGAACCCACGAGTGTTTAAACGTACACCACGGGAAATTCTTCAGTAAAAGGGAGCGTGGGAGCAGCCGAAGTTTTGGATTTTACTTGCCGGCGAAGAGCGATGAGGTGAAACATCTGCAAAGCGCCAGTAAGGGTTGCGTGATTTTCTGTGATAATTCATCGGCGGGAGCAGCTTCGAAGACGGGGTCAACGGCGTTGATGCCACTAGGTTCCGTGAAATTCGGTCTCGGAATAATCCAGGGCAGTCCCAGTTCTCGATTGAACCCACATGCTGGGGTCGAATAACCGACGGAAACTGATGGTGACCGAGTGGGCGGCTATAGTACGTCCGAGATTTTCGGAGGAGACCTGCACCTGTAAATGCGGATTTACGAGGCTACTTCTCGAGCGACAATTTCGGAGTTTGACAAAGGAATTCACGGTTTTTACGGCGAGAAACGCGGCATTTTGTGCCAGTACTTTTGGAGTTTGGTTAAAAGTGTGCGACAATGACGTTGGGCAACACCGCGGGAACTACACGGACTTTTCAAGGGGTACGAACGACTTACGACGAACTGAAGAAGGCGGCAGCAACAGTGACGGGGGGGAGCGATAGCTGTAAAATTTCATCCCTGCCCACGAACCATCGGCGCATTACGACAAATTTCTCGGACAATCCATTCCAACTCTGCTACTGACAACTCGCCATCGACCCGCCCACGACAACTGCATTAATTATCAACCACGTCAGGTGCTTCCAGCTGCTACTGCTGAAGATATCGGCATGATTCTAGCGCCTGGAGACAAACATTGGACAGCTCGGATAATATAGATTTTTTAGGGCATGTAACAACTGGTTTCGTCATCGAATTTCCACACCGACACGTTTCCGCCTCGACAATCTACGCTCCACGCTTTACTTCGGGGACTTAATGTCAGAATGAAGAATGGATGGTGCATTGATGTTGGTTGGGGTACATATAGCTAACCCTAAGTTTTGTACCCCCTAAGACAAACCTCACTATAGGCTACAACATTTGACACTTAACACCTGGTTTTATTGGTTTTCATTTCAGCGCAGCTGCGGGAAGTTTTCTGGTTGGCTTTTCTTGGAGGGGGGGAGATAGTGCGCTGCACTGTTTTCCTTCGGCGTTTTCTTCGGTACTCTTCTGACTCTGTCAGAATGCGGCAGCACGACGGACGACTGCGATTGCTGCTTCACGATCGACGGTTCCTGATTGATCGCGATTGAATTTCGCGTCAGTCTGTTCCCTCCAAAATCGCATCTGCCTCGACCGTCAGATTCGCACCTGCTCGATCAACGGCCCACATTCCAACTTCCACTTCATTTTGGGCCAGTTCATCGTCGACCGTCAGATCGAAATCCGACTACATCAACGGCTCTTCGCTACTGTGGGACTCATTTCAGTTCATAGCTGCCTTATTTGGGAGGTGGGAGAGTGTAAGGATTTACAAATCCTTACTGAGGCACTCGTTAGCGAGGCCATCCCGAGGGCCACGCGACCAACTGGTTCGGCCTACAATTTCGCATCCAAACCTCACCGAGCCGCCTCCGCACCAATCGCGACACTTCGCGAGCCAACCTTTCCCCACCTCCCCGCCTAGCTAGGATGTCCCCTATTTAGGCCTCGCTACTTCATTGTTTCGTCATTCTGTAATTCTCATTCTCGTTATTCGATATCTGCGCACTCTGACAAGTTCATTCATAACAGTATGGCTATTATAAACAAAATGTAGAAATGCACGAAAACGTGCTCCAGTTACAGAGCTTACGCGCTCGACGTGCGCTTCCCTCTCGCTCTGTGCGCGCTCTGCTGCATCTCTCGCCGTGCGTCGGACCCTAAACCCCCGTCGCCTCCTTCCTCCGTCGTGCTCTCCCAACCGCACTTCCCCCTTCCGCCTTGACCCCATCTCACGCTCTCCACCCAATTCAAATGTCGACTCCCTGTCAGATCTATTTCCATTTTCTCTCACAACTCGTAGCTCTGATATTTTTTAGGATATCTGTGCGCTTTTCTGTTGCTGGTCAACTGAGCCATGGACGGGCAGAACAACGCGCAGGCAGGCGGCGAGGCCAGTCAACCGGGCGGTAGTGGCGAGCGGCGGGAAGTGCCGAACCGGCAGTTCTTCCTGCAGGTGGCGAACGCGTCGACGGCCATGCAGGTGGTGGCCGGCGAGATATCCGCGCTCTGCCGCCTCGCCGCCGGTAAGTGCTGCGTCGCCTGCATTTGCCTCACGGTCGTTCGTTCTGCACTTGCGCATGCTTAGCCACACGCAATCTTATTCGTCTCTGCCCTCAGCCGGGTTTTCTTCTCTTTCGTGCACTCCGCGTGCTCGTCCTCGTTTTCTTCTGCACGTGGTGCGACCACGTGGTTTCATCTGCATTGCCGCCGGAGCTGCATTGTTTTCCGCGTCGCACATTGTCAAGCCGCTTGCATCTTGCCCCTCGTCACGTTTCTCTCGTGCGCCTTGCGGCAGACGGGGTGGCCATATCGGCCGTCAGTCCGCTGTTCAACACCTTCGCCGCCTATCCCAGCTTCGACCCGCTTCACTTCAAGGCCGCGGCCCTCGCAGTTGCCGCCGCCGCCTCTTCGCTCCCCACTGCCGGACCGACCGCTGCCCCTGGCCCAGACTCGGCGGTCGCGGCATCCCCTGCGGCTGCTGCTGCTGGCAAAGCGGTTGCGGGGCCGAGCGGCGGGAAGGAGGAGAAGGCGAAGAAGGAGAAGCGGCCGCTGTCCGCCGTGCAGATGGCGATGACGCAGTTCCTCTCCGAGGAGCGCGACCGCCTCCTCGCGCAGGGCGCCGCCGCCACCCCCGGCGAGGCGTACCAGATGGCGCGGCGGCGGTGGAACGAAATGCGCGAGGCGAACGGGCAGGGTAAGAAGAAGGGCAAGGGGAAGAAGCAGGGTGAGGAGCGCGAGGAGCACGACGAGCATGGGAAAGAGCATGACGAGGAGCGCGAGGAAGGCAAAGAAAGGGAGGAAGGTGAGGAGGTTGAGGAGGTGCCGATTCAGCTGGGCGACGCGGTGATGGAGGATGGGGAGGAGAAGGAGGAGGAGGAGGAGGAGGAGGAGGAGAAGACGGAAAAGGAGGAGAAGAAGGATAAGAGCAAGGGCAAGGGGCGTGAAGAGGAGGAAGCAACGGGGAAGAAGTCGGGCAAGGGGAAGGAGAAGGCGGCTGAGGACGGGGGCCCTGCGGGTGGCGGCAGCAGCGCGGGTGGTGGCAGCAGCGGAGGCAAGAGGCGCAAGAGGAAGCAGGGTGACGAGCGCGTGGCTACCTCGCCTGCCACCACGCCCGGGACCTCTGCTGCTGCCGCTGCTGCTTCTCCTGCTGCTTCCCGTTCTCCTGCCCGTACTCCTGCTGCTGGCACTCCGGGCGGTGAGGCGAAGGCAGGCAGCACGCCAGGCAAGCAGGCGAAGAAGAAGAAAAAGGCGCAGGCAGGGATGACGCCGGACAAGGTGCAGTGAGTGAAGTGAGACAAGGTGCAGTGAGTGAAGTCGGGCAGTGAGTGAAAACCGGCTTTGGTGAATGGCTGCCCACTGACATGCTAAACAGTATGTGATTTCGTTTGATAGATAAGACTAGAGTTTTGAATAACTAACAGGGCTGTGCGCAGGTGTGCCTCTGTTTAGAGATACATAACCTACTGACCCATAAGGTCATTGCTTGTCCTTCCATAGTTTGCTCTATGTTCTTGTTATTGTGCAATTAGAGTATGGTAGATTCGTGTGTGTTCTTTAACCTGAAACGGGCAGATAATGTCAATGTCCACTCCTAGATCTGTAACAGACAAATAGTGATATTTCGTCGTTTGCCCTGAAATTATACAGGAGAGGGGAGGAGGGGGAAGGAAGAGGGGAGGGGGAAGGAAGAGGGGAGGGGGGGATTTTCCCCGAGGAATTTGTCTCACCGTCTCATAACAAACCCTTGCAATGCGAACTATCTGAGCTGGAGAGGACTGTGCACTGTGGTAGGGTAGTGCTGTTGTATTCAGGTGCTGTGATTTTCCTGCCTTGAGAGCACAGCATGGTATGAAATCCTGCATGTGACCTGAATACCATATCATGAAGGCCATGAAAGTTTGCCCTAGAAAATCATGGCATTCTTCGACTGCTAGACCTCCCGCGGCCGCCCGTGTCGTCGTCGTCGGAGTCGCTGCGGTCGGGGGACGCGAAGGAGAGGTGGTCGGGGCTGTGGCAGATCCAGCACTCCCGACGTCGACTTCCTCCACCTCGACCACTGTCCTTGGTCGACTTCTTCTTGTCGACCTCCTTTGTTGACTTCGAGCCACTGCTACCACCGCCACCTGATTGTCCACGCTGCCCTGGTCGACCGCCTTGCTTCGCCGGGGCGACGAAGTTCGCCTGCGCCAGCAGCTCCTGGGACCGCTCTGCCTCCTGCATTGCCTCGTCTTGCAGGATGTACGAGGTTAGGTTGTCCTCGTTGAGCGTCGCCCTCGTGCTCGGCGCCATGGACAGCCGCTTCAACAGGTTGTAGCTGCTCCGGAGTCCCTGCATGACATGGGTGATGTACGACGCCGTCGAATACTCCGCACCGGCCATCCTGATGGTGGCGAGAATTCGCCGGGCCCGGTTGCAGTAGTCGGTCGCCGTCTCCTCGTCGCCCATGCGCAGGTGCGTCAGCTGCCCTTCAAGCTGGGCGATAAACAGGTCGTCGGTGACCTGGTACGTCGACTCGATGAAGTGCCACGCCTGGTGGCCGGCGTCGAGGTACTCCCTGCACCACTTCAGGGCGATCTGCACGCCCGGCGTGCAGCACCGCGAGATGACCGTGAAGGTCAACAGCTGCACGGCGCGGAACTCAGCTCGCAAGTCGGGGTCGTCCGGCGTCTCCACGGTGCCTCGAGCGAAGCTGATCAGCCCGGCCATCTCCAGCTGGGGCTCGATGGCCTCCTTCCAGGTGAGGATGTCTGGTCGACCGACCAGCGGGGGAGTCACCGAGATCCTGTCCGGCGTGAACTTGTAGTAGCCGTAGCTCGGTGCAATTCCGCCCGCCGTCACCTGGGACGCCGCCATCGGCATCAACCCGCTTCGTCGACCTCCGACGTCGCCCTGCGAGGTGCCTGCAGCCGAAGTCGACCGCATCCCTCGCGTCTGAACACCGCCGACTTCATCGGCGTGAATCACACCACGCAGCCTCGACGACGTGCCTCCCGCACTGCTGCCGACTTGGCCACCACCGGCGTTGACGCCGACCTCGGTGTTTGCCGGTCGAGGAGACGCAGGCCGAGAGGGGTGCTCCGTCGCCCACAAGGAACGGATGCCAGCCTCGACGACCGCCCAAGGCAGGTCGCCATATTCGTTGGCCTCGTGCTTCCTCCTCGCGTTTTCCAGCCGTGCCTCCAGGGTGTCCACCACCCCCGTGTCACCTACGGCCACTACCATAGTGACAATCGCACAGCTGCCGGCCTACGAACCACTTAGGTAAGGTGCCTACCAAGTCGACTAGACTGAAAGGTAAGTCGTAGTGCCGTCCACGCTCACCGCACCATGCGGAGATAACTCTAGTAACGGGAGCTAGACTACGGGCTAGGCACGGGTGCTCGTGCGTTCTCTGGTCCTTAGACGTTTTCCTAGTGCACACACTGCTTGCTAGTTCATAAGGCAATTTGGCAAGAGTTTCACTAGAGAAAGTTGACAACAATGATACAAAGAAGTTGGCAAGGCAAGACTACATCAGAGCTAGGGTGCAAGCAGGTCGACTGCCAGCGCAGCATGGTCGACCGCGTGCCAGCACGACTTGGTCGACCGCGCTCCAGCAGTGCAGAGACGCGGCTTGCCAACGCTGCAGGTCGACGGCGAGACAACAGCGCAAGTCGACGGCGTGCCAGCGTTGCTCCTGCAGTCCAGCATCGCACCCGCTTCGCAGGTGCGCGTAGATGATTGGCGTGCAGTGCCTCGTCACCTGCACAATGCACACGCCACATCAACGTCGTGCGGACGACTGCTTCTGATGCACCACGTCGACCTCGGGATACCATCACCGAGGTCGTCCTCGCCAAAACCACCTGGGCGACCATCGCAAGCCTTCGCAGCACCTCGTCACCCAGGTAACCTGGTCGACCGGGCAACCAGGTCGACCAGAGGCTCCAGTGCGTGCCCGTCGACCACCCAGGTCGACGACCACTTCCGGTCGACCTCCCAGGTCGACCACTGCCTCTGGTACGTGCCGGTCGACCTCCCAAGTCGACGGCCACCTCCAGTCGACCTCCCCAGGTCGACCACTATCCCCTGGTTGACCAGCTGCAAGTCGACGTCCCAGGTCGACCAGAAGGGCTGGTCGACGTCCCAGGTCGACCAGCCGAAGTTGGCGCCCTCCCGACGTCGGCGCCCATGCAGTGGCTCCCCGTGCAGGTCGACCAACCTCGTCGACCAACTCGCCCACTGCTGCAGGTCGGCTGCACCCTACACCCGACCACGAAGTCGGCTCCGCCCAAGCGAGGACGGGGCCAACACCCAACTCCCGTTGACACCTTCATCATGGGGCAAAGGAGGTGGTGTGGCTGAGGCGTTTGTTGGAGGAGATTGGTGTTGGTTAGAAGGGGCCGACTGCGATCTTCTGTGACAATGATTCAACGGTGAAGCTTGCGAAGAATGCTTGTCTCCATGGCCTGACAAAGCACATCAGGCCCAAGTGGCATTAAACGAGGAGGCTCCTGGACAAGGAGGTGCGATTGGAGCTTGTGAAGACCCAGCAGCAGGCGGCTGACATTCTCACCAAGCGCCTGGCAGAACCTGAGCATTGGAAGGGCATGAAGCTTGCTGGAATGAGTGTGCATTGAGAGTGCATGCTTGAGCTATGGCATGTGGGATGATGGTTGGCAGCCAGAGGGGGAGTTTGTTGTGTGATGCTATCATTCGCATTCACGTCTGTCTGCCTCCCATCATGTGTTCGTGCGTTGCATGCGTGGTGTGAGCGTATGCAAGAATTTGTGTTTGGTGTGGTTTGGATTTCCTGAGTATGTGTGAATGGTATTTGGCTTGGGCAGATATCTGAAGTGATTTCTCTGCTCAAGAGCTTTCCGACGAACCAAGAATCGTCGCGATTGGAGCAATATCAAGAAAGTTACGAACATTGGAGTTCGTATGCTTTCTGTACTTTGGTTGCGGCGACTATGGGAAGTTGTGGGGTTTGACTCCATAAGGGGTATAGACTTTTGGGGTTGGGAAATTCGAACCCATCACTGTAGATGCTGCCATGTGGTTGGGTGAAGCCAAACCAGGTTGGCAAGTGTGGCCAAGTGGGTTGAGGTGGATGGCATGAGTTGGGAAAGTGACAAATGTGAAAGTGGGGTTGCCTATGGAGAGGGGAATTGTGTGGCATGGGGTTTCCTTTGGTTGGGGACTCCTTGGGACCTTCCCTCTCGTCCTCCTGTACCCTTTCACCTGGTTTAGTCCTACCCTAATTCTCTTGTGTAAAACTTGTGGATCTTTGTGAGAACTATTGTGAGTGAGTTAAGTTTCTATGTGGCAGCATACCCCCTAGTGCGCCGAAAAGCATAACTCGAGATTTACTCCACCTTTTGATACGATTCAAATTGGGAATGATAGCCACGGTCAAGGGCTATAACATACTCGAGTTTGAGACGATTCTAACGGTGCACTTTTCGTCGAAGACGTTTCATGTGAAGTCGCGGTTTCTGTCCACAATTTTAAGCCAACGATTTTGAGATATTTGGCCTCCTGTTCTTCATAGACTCCGTCCTTAATCTCTAACACTAATTTGGGTTGTACCCCTTATGGGCTACCCCACTACAGCCTACACAGCACAAGCATCATTATAGTTTGACAATAAGAGGTTAGCCTGACAAATGGCTGTAAAAACATGCTCTTAGTCCGGACTTGTCTTAGGGTTGACGAGGCCCGTCGAGGAGAGCTGGTCGATAGTAGGGCCTCAGATTGGTTTTTGGGTGCCCTGGACACGCAGTGTCCCTAGGAGTCTAACACTAATCTTCAGTGTCGTCCGGTCAAAAACGCCGTTCTTTCAGGGTATGGGAAAAAAAAATTAACGCTAATGAATCAGGGTGCTTAAAACTTGCACACTGACATGAATCATAATCCAATAGCGAGTTCCATTACAGCAACACCAGTCCGCAGCGCAAGGTGGCACTGGTGCACAGATGGTAAGTGACTGCAGGCAATGAAATCCCAGGTGTCGATCTTGGAAAATCTGCGTGATTCACAGAATCTTAAGAATCAGAGCCGAAAAGCAAAACACAAAGCTGATTAGTCAGTGAAAGAAAAATTAAAACATTGAAAATCCAGAGTTTAAAATTCAAAAGCACTGAAACATCAGGGTCGTTAAAAAAAAGGCCGATACATCAGGGTCATGATAAAAAATAAGGGTCAAACTTCAGGCATTCAAGGTAAAAATCCTGACTTCTGAGGCCCTGGTAGATGGGCTCTGCTCGACGAGCTCGTCTTGGCGAAAACTGCTCGAAGGAGCATTCGTCGAGCTAATAGACGGAAGTCGCAAGATTGCGAAATCCGGTCGTGCGGGCGAATGTCGCCTAGGAGGTTTTCGCGAACTCGACTGGCGCACGGCTGGAGAAATCGTCGACACGTGTTTTACCTGGCACCTGCGCTATTTGCGCGGCAGCGCGACCGTGTACCTGCACATGCGAAGAAGTTGACCTGCGTTTGCAGTGCTTGCAGACCGCCGCGGTGCAACGCTGGCAGACCGCCCTGCTACAGCGTTGGCAAGCCACTCTTATACTACGC